CAGAACAGCCTCTCAGGACAACTCGCCTCCTGCCAGGCTAAAGAGTCGTGTTATTCTGATTTTTCTTATTAATCAATGCAAGATGGTTTGGTGGTTTTTTCTTGTTGTTTTAAGCTGTCCCAGGCTGGCAGTGGGTCAGAACTGGTTGCCACATCCCCCAGCACGGCTGTCTCCACCCCAGGGGTTTGCCAAAGAAAGAAAGGACTCAAGCTGCTCTGCCTGCCCACCTTCTTGCTCTGGCACAGGGCTCCTCAGACCCAGCTTGCTCATCCTCCCTCCTGGCAGCAGCGGCCATAGCAGGAGTTACCAGGCTGACTGCTTGCTCCACCTTCAGTGAAAGCATCTCTCAGCTTCCACCCTGGTTCCCTCAGCCCCGTGTCCCCCATCCTTGCAATGCACAAACCATACTTTCTCCATCTACAACCTACAAACCATAGCCCCTTCTACTCGTATGCCCAATCCCCAAATCCCTGAGACCCTCACCTCCTTCCTTCACCGGACACCACCTCTCCTACCCCATATCTACCCAACCATGCACCTGCAACCTGACCCAGAGCAGCTGCTTTGCAGGTTGAGGTGTGCTCCTTCGCCAGGCGCCGGCAGCAGCTGCTGCAGATCCTGCCTCCACCTCTGGCAGGAGCCAGAAAACACTTTCCTCTGCCAGCCTGCACACAGATGAAGTCAGCAGTTGCCAGTGCTACCGCCTGGTATGGCCACCCAGCTCCAAGGTGGTTTCTAGCAGCTCCCAGTCACCTTCCCAGCAAACGCCCAAGTCTCTGGTGCGTAACTGGGAGTAGGACGGAGACAGCGGTGGATGTATGGATGAGTACGGTGGGGATCTGAGAATGAGGCTTTATCATCTTCGCTTCTGATTCTCTGGCAACCTCCCAGATGCTACCAGCCAAACTAGTTTCCTGTGACAGATATTCTGATCTTACCTTGGACCTTGTCATGTTTGCTCTTTTTAAAGCTCCATCTGCTGGAGTCACATGAGTAAGTGGGGATGGCAGCTGCCACTTCAATATGAAATAGCTCATCCCCGTAGCCACCATGTAAAAGCTTGAAAACACGAACTGCAGAGGTTTAAACGCAAGGTCACACACACAAAAGACTCCACAGTGTTTCAGTGTCATTGTTCCTAAATTAATTTCAGGATTTGGGAGTCGGAATTACAGTTTTCACACTGCTTCCTTCCTGCAAGTGGCCATTGTCTTTTCTGTCACTGTGGGCTTGGGAAGTATCACTCGTCCCCTGCGCACAGCGCGCTTGGGCAGGCGGAAGGGAAAGGGCAGAGAGACGTTATTAATCGCTGCACGGTGGTGGCATTTACACCGCAAGCCCTGACAAGGCAGTTCCTCTCTTCTGCCTTGGGAGAGATGCCCAAGCTCTCTCTGTTTGGGCAATGCTTTTAATTGCTCCTCTGCTGTCCAGAGAGCAAGTGGGAAGGTGTAAAAGCAGTGAGCACAAAGCCAGGGCAGGAGTGCTTGGACTCTGGATCATCTGCCACAGCACAGGGGTACTCACAACTCTTCAACCCATGGCCTCTGCAGGAGCACAACCTCCTCAGACATCTTCTCGGGCAAAGACCATAGAGAAAGCTGTTTGCCACGGGCTCATGGGCCAGAAACTCAGGGCAGCTGGGCAGCGTCAGCATCGTGTTTGCATAGCCCAGACTGTCTGCTGAATGGGGACAGGGACACATGCCACTTTCAGGGCCTTGGGAAGCGTGACCTCATGGACGGAGGGCTCTTGCGCGTGAACGGGCAAGCGCCAAGCAGAAGAGCTGAAGTGACAGTGCAGCGAGCCACACGCACTGCTTCTGCCTCAGCTGTCGCTTCCTGGGAAGCAAGGAGGGAAAAAAGAGACATTTCCAAGGCACCCGTGGGCAAGAAAGCCAGTGGCAGTGCTGGCAGTGAGGGATCACCATGGAAACCGCCAATGTAGGGCCTCAAGGTGCAGAGCTAAAATTAGGCAGCAGGAAGGGCTGTTTCTCATCTCTAGCAGCAATGAGCGCTGAGTCGTCAGAGCCCCAACACAGCACCGATGTCAGGAGCATTTCCAAACTGCCTGTGCCCGCATGTGCGGGACCAGCGGGGCTCAATGTGCCGACACCCGGGGCTGTGTGTGACGCAGCCCGGCGGCCTGAGGTCCTGCAAGCGGTCATGCCTGCTCCATGCTGGTCAGACTGCACCAAAACACAGGGCAGTGAACCTTCTCCAGCACGTCTGTGCCTGGGTGCTCGGTATGACCACCCACACCTGACTCTGAATGTGGAGTACCTGGCAGAGACTGTCTGCACACCCTTGTGCCCAGTGCTTGCATAACCATGCATCTGTGTGTGTGTCTGAGAGCCCAGCTGTGTCGTCACCAGGATATATGTAAGTGCATGTTACCAGCTCAACATGAGCTGACAATGTG